GGGGGGAGGGAACTGTTGTTGTAACTATTGAGTCTGAGGATGAAATCTTTTAGTTGTTATACATTAATAAATGGTCACCCCCTTTGACAACAACTTGACATGTCATTTTCATCTTCCTGTGATTTATAAAATGGCATTTAAGGTTTTTCTCAATTTTCATATTAGATACTACAGTAGTAGCAGGAGTCAAGGGGTTGAATGCCAGTTTCTGGTGGCAATGTGTTCAATTTCTACATAGTCAGATTTGATCGGGTACATTTAAAAAGATCTGATATTCATATCGAGTTTCCTTACTTTTAATTAATAAATAACTCGTTTAACATTTGCTGTTATACAAAAGAGTGAGAGAATGAAGATTTCACAAAATAAATAGATGCGCAGAATGTGGAACAAAAAGAAAATACTTACGTGTATTTGACAACATTTAAACCATTTGGTAGGACAATTTCTGTGAAAGAATAGGAAAAATGATATCAATACAAAGGCTAATTTGATTGTATTAGAAAGAAGAAAAAGCTATCAAGTGCGCAAATATCAGTGCTAACATAACTAAATTAGTCAATGCCTCCCAAATAAAAGGATCTTTTAAAGCCACAGAAAACAATTCATTTCATTTCTTGGTCCTCACTATAATTAATATTTCTTTGTAATTTTCAGAAAACCTCTAGAGGTGCTATGTGCCATTTTATTACTAGGAGTGAGTGCCTTTGATGGAGGGCTTGAAATTAAAGTCAAATTTCTATACCAGTAATAGTGACATCCATAAAAATATGGTCAGATGACTTACCAGCTCTTCTTTTCAGTAAATGCTCTGCTTCATCTGCTGTGATGTGTGATACAGTAGTGAATACATGGGCATTGTTTGCAGCGGCTCGCTCAAGGCAGTAACGATGATAAATCTTACGATCTCCAGCTTCCTGAAATCAGGATGAAGAGATAACTCATAACGTCACACATGGCACTGTTGTAGAGTTCTTAAACTTGAAATCAATACCAAACAGTTAGCAAACTGAAAGTAATGAGACCTAAATACAAGTACTACTGGTATCCACTGACCTTGTCAACATCAAACTGATAAGCACGATCAGGAAACATAAAAAGGAAAGGAAAAACAAAGTTAGGAGAGTTTTAACCATATCACATCAAGATTTCTTCTGGTTTGCAACACAGAGCAACCTTTGGCAATAAATTGGAAATTCTAAGGCTAGAAATGAGACAAAATTAACAAGTAAAATGAGAAATCCTCCCAAGAAATGAGTTATGTTTAATTGTGTAAAATAATTGTGAGCTTTTAACTGGATACTGATCAGAAGAAGTCTTTTTCAGGTGATGATGTCATCTGGTTATGATCACCTTTATGGTGAATTCTGATGCTTTACTGTTATTTGTTGGTTTTCTACAGCTGTAATAAGTACATTAACAACCTGGGTCCATTATCCACTGAAGACCATAATCATACACCTGTGATGTTGCGAAGCACATTGCAAATCACTTCATCAAGCTAAGCAATACATTTTTCTCATTTCTGTCAATGCATTTTGTACTTCACCACAATGTAAAAACACAATCTGCACTTTAGAATCAGGCATATTGATTGTCTTGTATTATTTCACAATTTTTGATACCATATACACACAGATCACTAAACATTTAATTGAAGCATTCAGCACTAAGTAAAAAAATCACAGAGAGAAAGCTTGGTTGACTTACCCTATCCAAATTATTATAAAAGTCCACATTGGCTGCACAAAGATATCGGCCCAACAGTGTTGCATGTGTTGTGAAAATTGTTGCTACAGCCACATTTGTCATTCGCAGGAGAACAAGTCCCACCCCTGCCTGCCATTCATGGAAATGTGCAGCTATAGGTAGGTCTGGTTCACATCTGGCGCGAAACTGAAAACAAAATCATCACTGCATCAATTTATTGACCATTCACAATGAAACAACAATAAGGATGATTGACACTGTGCATCTGTACATTTTATTATTAGACCAGAGATGACATCAAAATGTGGCAAGAAAAATAAGTGGCACACAAGGCACAAATGACTGATTATCTTACCACATTTTGACACCTGAGATCTGTTACTGTACAGACTTATGGCATCAAATAATCTCTTGATTTTACACAATAACAAAACAAACATTTATTAATAATGACATTGTCTAAACCTCTTCTCTTGATAGGTCATAAGTACAAAACCAATCAAAATATGTTTATAATTCATACACTCAATTATGTTTAACAGCAGACTAATTTTATCCCCTACTCCCTCATCTGACCCCTCTCTCCTAAACCATGTTTCCTTTGTTTTCTGTTTGTTTCCTTTTCCTCTTTATATCTAAAGAAGAATCATTCTTAAGAGTTACAAAGCTAGAAGCATTAATACTCAAAGATTTCTGCACCTCTCCAATAAACTGTGCAACCAAGAATCCCAACACGACAGCATCATTACACTCTGTGTCAGGCTCAGGGATACCAATGTGAGTTTTCTTCCAAAAGTCATTCTTCATTTGACCCAGCTTGTGGTAAATTGAGCCAATGTTAAAAAGAACCACCTAAGACATAGAAAATGTAAACACTGTAACTAGCAAATTTTATGATTTTCACAACTTGTAACTGTATTGATAACTAAGAGAAATCTCATCCCTTTTCTGAAAGAGAGAGCCAAGCATTCAAGTTCTCACATTCATAAAGTAACATTTTGAATTCGAACTTGAAGTCTGTATTGATCACTAATAACTGTTCCAAAGATTGTGTGTATTACCATGATCAAGTATATAAGTTTACTTTAAAGGACAAATAAATGTTTCTCTAATTACCTTGGGATATCCATCAATCAACCATCTCCCAAAGTGAGTCTGCAAGAAAAATTGACCAGATATGAACATTCCAATTTCATAACCATTAAATAAAGTTATTTGGGAAGATATGATACCATAATGCTTAACACAATGAACTTTGGGTTGCAAAGACTAGGTTGAGGACCTGGGCAGGTCATTGTGTAGTGTTCCTGAGCAAGACATTTTACTGTTCCACCTACTAGTATACAGGCTACTGGCAAATTGCCTGTGTTCAGCCTGATGCAATGCTGGAGGAGGGGGGGGGTGGGAATTAGTAGCCTGTGATGGACTGGGTTCCCATCTAGGGGGAGTAACAATACACCTGATGGTTTCCGCTGCTATTACAATACAATAAACTCTCAACAAATTTCTGAAAATGGTAAACATTTGATGAACCTGTTCAGATTTCTCTCAATTTCAGTCAATCTTCTACTACTCACCCCACCCCACCTCCCCCCCCAGCATTACATCAAGCTTTCCAGTCTTCCAAGCCTTTATACTAGTAGGTGGAACAAGGTGAATGAAAGTAAAATGTCTTGCCCAAAAACACTACACAATGACCTGCAGAGTACGAGTCTAGTGCCATGTGGTACACAAAGGTAGAGGCAATCTCATTGCACGTGGATGAATGACCCACCATTAATTGTTACTTGGGTGTTCCATGCAGGCACATCACAAACATTTGACATCATTTTTTTTTAGCCAAATCACAGTAAACCTCTTTCTTTAAAGTACCATGCAACAATTTTGCAAAGTAAAAACCAGATTTGTTAATATCTAACATAACTGACAACTACATTGACAACTGACAACTACTATTCGTTTCAATAATTTTCTTTGAATAGCAAATGAATTTCTCATACCTCTACACCACTGTCTCTCATGGCTTGGACAGCTCCTTTCATTGCAGGATCTTCAGGTTCCATCATTTCAACTTCAGTCTTGCATTGCAGATCATTGTAAATTCCTATCAAGCAATACTTGTTTCCTAGTACATCAACTGCAGCCGGTGCTTTAGATCTGATCACAGTATAGATCCCACCAACTAAAAACATACCAAAAAAGCAATTTATTAAATTAAATCTACTTTTTTGTGCTATCATGGTAGCATGTAGTCCTTCAGATTCCTGTTGCATAAAAATTTCAACAAAATTCCTGAAGGGTGAATTTCCCAGATGAAATTGGAACAGGAATAAAACTCCAATACTTTGACCCCAAATGCATTGCTCAGGTTGAAGGAAAGAAACTAAATAAAATAAAAAGCAATGAACACTTGCTTTGTGCTCCATCCAATTTTAACAAAAAGGAAGCAAACAATTAATTTTATTAAAATTGTCACAAATTATTGTAAATCTTATCAGCTGTCTGTTTTGAGACTATGTTTAAAAGGAATCGGGATCAAGAGGCAACCAAATTGGTCTCCTTTGAAACTTTCATCAAAAACTTCATAATTCCTTTTAATCAGGAGCCCCTAACCACTATCTTTAAGATCTAAGCTAAATTTTCCTGGACACAGGTGCCAAATAAGCCTAGTGTTATTATAATGAAAAGAACCTCTTATGTATTTACAAGGATTGGTATAGCTAAGGGGATTCTGACTAATACCCATCCCTTATACCCATTACTCTCCTTTTCAAGTGGTAACTGGTAAATCTACTGTCTGTAGCACTTTTTATTACATTAGCTCCGACGAAGGGCTAATGCTCGAAACGTCAGCTTTTATAATCATTACGGTGGCCAATTTACCATTTCAACTTTGTCGATATATCCAAATTATTTCATTACTCCCCCTGACGCAGCCCCAAACAGTTTCTTTCGAAACTATCAGACTTTTTATTACTGCCTAAAGTTGCAAAAAAATCTTGAAAATTCAACACTCAGGTAAAAGGATTGCTCCATTAGTTTGAAAACTTCTTTTACCTGTCATCGAGAGGGGGAACACTGTATATTATCAGTCAGTTAACCAAGCAGCCAGCTTGCCTGATACACGTCTATATATGTTTGCATGTACATTGTGACCAGTTTATTGTTATGTATAATTCAGTAAAGACAATGCAAACTGTACTAACCACTAAGACAACAAAAAATAGTTATCATCGATTAAAGTTCCTATTAATAAATTGTAAAGAAAGAGTCAGACTTTGTTCAAGAGATATGTTTACAACATAATTTTTTTTAGCGTTTAATATACTAGAACCAGTTGCCTGAGAACACGGATATTCGCTTGTTATTCGATCATTTGAATTTAAATAGTCAAGCACTTTACAATAATCATCTTCTTGATGTTGACAAACAAGAACACCAGCTGACTGAATTAGCTGTGGTAACGTTCTTTTGGTAGCAGTCGGTGGAAAAGACTGTAAATGACAGCTGAGAATAGGACGGCTTTGCTACCCTAATTAAAGTAATACTAAAAAACTAATCGAGGTCAAAGAAGAAATGTGTCATAGCAAGTCTGTCTATGTGCAGCCTCTGAAATAAACCAGTTTTTTGACGACTTGGAAATTAAAACAATCATTACCAAACATCGCAGATGGTTAAGTACATGACAGATGACAATGCTTCCCAAGGGGTGCAAAAGTTCTTGGACCAAATCGAACAGCCCGAGGGGTGGGAAGTACTATTAGCATCTCTTCCGTCTGGCAAAAGTAAATTGTTAGCAAGCATAAGTCAGACTAACCTTTGTTAGCAACTTCCCACGAAACTTCAAAGGTAAAATAGTGTGGCTCCTGATTCGGAACTCCATCCCAAGGGCGCACTAAGATGTCTGAAGCCCCACTTAACGTCCTCTCCATAGTTCGCTCACAACCAACCTCGAACTTGCTCTCAGGTATCCCCGCTGGCTCCAAGGATTGTATACCCGATCGAATAGTTTCCATGTCACCATCGGTCTGATCTCTTCGACTCCGCATCAGTGCTCTTTGTTTTTGCAATTTTGAGAAGAAAGAAATGAACGGGATACTTTCTGTGCTTTCAAAGAACGAAGTAAAGAAGCGAAAAATCAGACGAAAACAAGACGATGGGTCGCACATTCCATGTATTCACAGAGCAACCACGAAAAAGTCCATATATCTTTTAAACACAATCAAACAGAAGGCGATGTTGCCTTCGCGTTCCAAGATCGAATGAAAAATTCCAAAAAAATAAGATTGTTACAGTTTATGTTTACGCTCACATGATGTTACAGCAGCTGAACGGTTCACCGATGGAAACTGGGCATGTGAGACCCTCGTGTTTTGAATGGACTTACAGATTTAACATCTTACTTCCAACACATGTACATGAAGGTCAACTTCCGAAAATTCCATCACATCACTAGGAACGAATTTCAACGCTTTCAATGTCTTTTAAATTATTCTATGGGAATAAGTTATTCGAAATTTCTAGAAAAAACGAAGCAAATTGCTTTTAGCGCTTAGCTTTAAGTGGCAATTCTTCAACGTAGGGGCCAGGGCTTTTAATCCAAACACGAAATTTGTCAAACGCTTGCAACACCTTTAATGGTGCTCTGTAATTTTTTGAGAAGCTTGGTTACTTTGTACAGTTGTCACAGGCATCTGAGGTTCGATAAGTGAAATACCCCGCAAAAGTACCATGAATATTGTTTATATGCAAACCAGACACCGCTACTTTCGAGTTCACAACCATTCTTTGAACTACGAGCAACTGACTTGGTATGCATCTATTCCCAATAGTCGTCATTTAATGTTTCAAACATTGATTTAACGCTGTTTCTAAGGTTTTGCTGTGGGATAATAAGAGAAATAAATACTTACACAACGTCCATATTAGCTTCACGAGTTTGATGCGTGCAAGCACAGCTAAACTACTTTGTGTTTGTTTGTTTGTTTGGAGGGCGTGTTCAAAGTTTGCGTGGTAGTTTGACTTACAGCTATAGACAAATCGAACTATGAACTCCTCTAGAATTTCAAATCTGTTCTCTAGAATCGATCGTTTTATTCCTGACAAGCCTCCGGGAATTTGGGGAACTTTCTTTGAACTTCAATCTGTTGTAATTCATGTCAAGTCAGATTTGCGTGAAAAATTGATCTTTGAAACCGAAATTGAAGCCAAAGGATTCTTCAAACATTGTTTAGGAGTTTTCCTTGCATAGCTCTCACAGGGACGGAGCCCATTAGGCCATTACACTCTGCTCGATGTTTTCACAGAATTTTCATACTTATATGTATGTTTTAAAGACTGTTTAAGTCATTTATAACGAGATCATGACTACATATTTCTATGTTTATAGCAAATGAACGTGCTCAGTCGCGTGATAAGAAATAATCACGTCACGATTACCGAGCTCGTTGATCACACGTAAATCACGCTATCAAAAGGGATCTTTGAACCATAGACATCATTAATTTTGCCCAACAGAAGCTTACAGCCTATTGCGTTTTTTTCTGTTGTTCTTTGTCTCCAATTTTCATCCAACGGATGTTCCTCTTGAGGACACAGTAAACGATCTTGTTATCTGGTAAAGGTCTTTCGTGTAGTAGTTATGGTTTTCGTATGGAATTGTATTGTTTTTTCTCAGTTTTTCCCCCATCGCTCAGTTTGATCTACACCGATTGCTAATGAGACTTACATAATGCTTTTGGCCTTTTCACGTGAAGTTGGATAGGACAGAGCAACGATTCACATTTGAGCCCACACAAACTTCTAGCCGCTTCATGCGACAGAAACCTATGATTATCAAGAAAGCTCACAGTAGCAATGGACTAGTTGATTCTAAATATTTAAAGTAAAGCTATGTATAATCCTTACAAGAAGTATCGAGGAAACCCCTAATTTCAGACGTATTCTCACGCAAAACAATATTGCAAAACAATAGAAAAAGATTTGATCTTTACTGTTACTAAATTCTTGATGGTTTGTTGCACCACGCCAAATTAACTTGAAATTATCCTCTGATTGATTGACTGTTCCATTCGAATGACTGATGTATTCGGTGCAAAACCAGCATAATGCGTAAAATATTCGTCGACTATTTTAACGGCGAAAACAATCCACTGTAACAATGATTGACGGGCTTTTCCTCAGTTCAAAGGGTGGACGAACACGTGGCGTTCTGCTTCGTTACGCAGAGAGGGCGCAAGCGAAAAAAATATACCATCGGTCATCTTTTTTTTAACCCTGAAACCATCTTTTCCAGCTGGTTCTTTACTAATGTCTTAAGCAAAGTCCCTTTTTATTTCCCTCGCTTACAGATGGAAAAGCAAAACTCGAGACACCGGTTTTGACCCTTGGTAGATACATTTCAGCAAAGGTCGATCTTTTAAACAAATCCTTGATTTCTATCATTAAATAATTTCTGTTGTGACCGACAATAGTGTTAAAGGAAGTTAATTCCAACACCCACTTGAATTCCATGGTTTACACTGAAAAAAAAGGCAAAAGAAAAGAGAGATATCAGACTACTTTTTACGAACCGAAAAAAGATGATTTAAACTCTACCTGAGTTCTTTCATTGAGTCACCACTTTCAGTAATACCTATTCAAAGTTCTCTCTGAGATTTTTGTTTCAGTACAATTAGTTTTGTCGTGATATTTCACAATCTATGCTTTAAAAAAACTACCATTTTTCTGACATTCTTGAATCATTTTTACCAAGTTACAAAATAACGTCACCATGCCTCAAATGAATTAAGACCTGTCTAAGGTGCTGTATTCCACACATTCCATAGACACACCATCTGGCAATTTGATTAGAGCCAAATATATTAAAACCTTTGGTTAATGTAGCTTTACCTCACCTGTCTGTATTTTGTGCTGCGATAGGAACACAGTAATTGAACTCTACTCGGGCAATACCAAGCATGAAAACCAGCCCAGCTCCACAGGACCACCGGATCTTCTCTCTTAACGAATTAAATCTGTTCCTCCATGGAAGATCTGACAAAGACAGGTTTTTATTTAAGTGTCTTAATTTGAAAAAGTAACATTTAATGCCCTCCGGTAAAAATAAATTATTCGGATATCGCACCCCCCTCCAAAAAAAAAAAAAAAGAAAAAAAGTTACATCATTCAGAAAACTGCTGTTGTGCTTGACAGTGGCATACACTTAACACACACTGATACCAATTCCTAATTCGGTCTAGCACTGTCTCAGCGGATATACCCTACTTTGATAAGGGCTCCCAATCGCAAGAAGTTTGTGAGTCGATCTGGGAGTCAATGCACTCTGATAAGAGCTCCCGATCGTAAGAGGTTTGTTGGTCGATCGGGAAACCAATGAGCTCTGATAAGAGTTCCCAATCGCGAGAAGTTTGTCGGTCGATCGGTTACGTGCAAATCTAAGGTTTCAAATATGTAAATTAATGGTACCTGTAGAAATCACGTCATACCTTCTGGCAATAGAGAATTTGACGAATTCGATAGTTGCCGAGCAGTGAGAATTACGAAGGCCTTGATTTGTGCTATCTGCCTAAGTCTTCAACTTCAACAGAGAACACAAACTTTAGCCTCGATAGTCCTCGCTATCATGTTCAAAGTCATCCTATAATCTGATGTTTTAGCCGCTTTGAAAAATTCTTTACAAATATCGCGAGCTTCAAAGTATTATAAAATTACAAGTTAAACCTCTTTGTCTTACTTGTGTCAAATGCAATCAGATTTCCAGTGTTAACAAATAAATGCGTTTTGATCCTGTCTCCCAGACCACCCCGTCCTGGTCTGAAAGGCAAGGGGGTATATACATGAAGTCCTGCTGCCCAGTAGGCATCCGCTCCCAAAGAATCATCTACAAGACAAACACACCGTGCATGGAATTCCTCAAGAGATACAAAAGGGCTTAGAACTTCACAATTAGGCCCGATAAAGTTCGTTTTCTTCATGAATGACAGATGCAGTGGTGTAGTTTTCAGCACAAGGATTCTTGATTGGGAAATCGGGTTTTGAGCTCTGCACGGCCACTGCGTTGTATTTTTGAACCAACATGCGAAGCAGGGGGGTTGAGCTGATGGTCAACGATGGATAAGCATCCCACCCATTGGAAGTAGTAATACTCCTAGTGGCTTAGTGGTATGTTAACAAACAGTGAGAATATTTGAACTTACCTGCAACTACCACCAAAGTC